TTATCAACATATAAATGTCTGACAGGGATAACTGATATTATTCATCATTAACATATTTAATATTATATTTTTAACAACTACTCTTAGATCAAATACTATGGATCAACCACTTTCCTAATAACTTGAAATATTAGCAAATAATTGAAGAGGAATATCTCATATTTAGGTATATGAAATGATATATTAGTATTATATAAATCAATCAGTGACCAATAGCAAAACATGTAACAGTCACCTCTTGCATATATATATCAAATATTTCAATCAGGTACTCCTCGCTTATTTATGATTAATTGTTCATATTTTTYTAAAGTTTATTTGGTGATACCAACATAAATAGCATGGCATCTAAGCAACTACTGCTTACAACTCATTGGAGATAAAATTAATGCTATAAACATAAAAATGTCTGAAATGGATGATTGATGTTATTATTCATTAATATATTAAATATTTTATTTTAAACAACTATGTATCACTTCATTAATATAGTCAGGAAAAATCCATATTATCAACATGAAAATTTCTGACAGGGATACTGATATAATTCATAATAATTATACATTTATTATTTTAGGCACTTTTCTGTTATTGAAACTAAAAACATACTACATACAAGCCCGTCGAGGTCTCTCATTCACTTTGACAATATAAATCAAAAACATTCTTTAATGTTCTATGTATAAAACCACCTTTGGTAGATCATAAATAAGATTTGATTAGGTTACTCTAAGSCATACGCAAGGTGGTTTTACATAGCAAATCAAAAGATGTATTGATTCAATAAATGCGAGCAAAAGATTAATCACAACAGGGCTATAAAATGAATTAAGGTAAGCAATTTCAATAACTGGTAAGTAATTTAACTTATTTTAAACAACAACCACTACAGATAAATTTAAACGTATCAACATAAAAATATCTAACAAGGATAACTGATGTTATTTATCATAAATAAATTTATGCCAGGTTACAAAATCATTCCCAAAACATATTTTAATGAATCAATCAAGATTTTGCACGATTAAGTGGCCCGTATGTCCTGTTAAATTTTAACAAGCCATTAAATTAATTATTTATTTGATGCGACTTGGTATAATTTTAAATTATATAATAAATAGTTAATCTTAGATAAATTTTAGTTATCAGCATATTTATGGAAATATATTATAGACATAATATAATATAATGTTAAATGTCTTACGTTCCATCTAAACCACGGACAGCATCTTCTGCATCGCGTGGATCTTCATATTCTATGAATGCAAAACCWGGAGGATTTCTTGCTATCCAAATATTTTTCAATGGGCCATACTTGGTAAATAAATCTTCTATTTCGTATTTATTGGCATTGCTTTTCAAATTACCAATGTATACTTTGCAAGTTGGATCCCATTCGCGGTGTTTGGACATTTTTTAGTTTTCTATCTATAAACAGAAATATTTTGATTATGTACAATATATAACTCTACTGATATTGTCATTTTTTAATGGTTTTTTGGATATGTTTATCTTGCTATTATGTATTTTATATCTTCAAGCTATATTGAAAATGTATAGCACCTCTTATTCGTGTTCTGACACCATTGAAAGAAATTAATTTCAAAAGTACATGTGTTTTATTCATCGTCTTACATATTATGTATATTAGATTTTCTAGCATTTAACCCATTTTGATTAAAAGAAAGTTATATCCAAATAATAATAACGACAATTATATGACAACAAACAATTTATATGTAAATATAAAACAATTGTCTAGAAAGTAAGTATAATATGTACACATTAAAAAAACAATAAAAAATGCATTAACATTTAAAGATTCTTTTTAATGATTGCTTWATTTAAGTTGTTACTTCAGTAAATATTATTTTATAACATAAACTATATAAACATAATAAAAGTACTTACCTCAAAGAATATTTAAACTAATTATTCACAACATATACAGCAGTTAGTATAACCTTAAGAGTTATGATTTCAGATAATAATGGATATGTTAGATGTATTACCTAGAATTAATTATAAAAAAAAATATACAGGGACTAAAACCGTTAATGGTTACTTAATAGTAAACATGCCAATGTTACAAGGTTGAAGAATGTAAAACTATATTATGGAAATTTTCACTAAATAGTTGACACAAGTCATGTACTCACGTGTTGTTTCAATAACGGGCGACGTTGAGAAATGGCTTATGTTAAAGAAAATTGAGTACAAGCCGGTGAGCCACGAGGGCCAAAAGACCAAAGGGCACAGACAAGTTAGTAAATTTAATCGTTAACCATTGCAAGAAAATGAATCATACACTAAATATTAAAAACGGACGTTTGGRATTTAGTTTTAAGCACTAAAGAATTAAGTAGTTGAATAGTAAGTTTTTGACTTGAATACTTGAATCATACAGTTGTTGACTTGTTGTGTCGCAGAACATTAGAACAATGCTTGACGYTTGTAGAAAGTACTAAGTAGAATKTTCTCAATATCTCAATGGTCAATGTACTACCTATGTAGTATGTAGTCAATAGTCATGTAGAAACGAAGAATATTGTAATTTGTAGAGTTGAATGTTAGAAAAACAAGATGGCTTCCTCATGTCAGCACCATAACGGAATATTATCAATTTATCSTGTTATAATTATCTGTTACATAACCTGCTGATAAGGTAACCTTATCAAGGTTCATTTAGCTCATAGAGTAATATTTTACTCTATATTTAGCTATTGATCAGTGAGGGAAACTTACTAGTTAA